TCGGGGCTGAGATCTACCCCTACCTCGGCCTCTAGCACGGCCTCGGCCTCGCCCTCTCCCCTCATGGGAACTGCTGCTGGGGGCTCGGGCTGCTGAGCGGAGGATGAGGAAGCTCGTGTTCTCGCCATTTGCAAAAGAATCGAGTAGAAATCCAATTGGCATTGAGAAATAATCCGCACGACAAGAAAGAACAAATGTGAATTTTTTCCTAACTCTATAGCGTCTGGGGGATAAATACAGACGTCTCTGTACCATCCCTCAGACTCTACTAAGCTTGTCTGTGAACTGTGAGACCTATGTAACCTAGAGCTCTGATACCAACTTGTCACGACCCGGATTTCCCACCTTTGGGAGTCGTGATGGCGCCTACTAATGAAAGCTAGGCAAGCCAACCCTAAACTATTTTTTTTTCATTAACAAATTATTATTATTATTTTTTCCAATTACCAGCGATATTATGAAAACAGCAGAATTAAATAAATAAGTGGAAGTCAACAATTTTTATCACTCAAGACTACGTCTATTACAACTTTCAAAACCTCAATACCCAAAACCTGGTGTCACAGTGTCACGGACTGTCTAAGAGTCACTACAAACAAGGCCTGAAGAAAATACATTAAACTGTTTCTGAATGAAAGAAAATGAAACAGGGAATAGAGATAGAGGGAGACGTCAGGGCCCGCGAACGCCTGCATGTCTACCTTGGGTCTCCGCGGGGATTGAAGGAAGCCCTCCAACTACTGACCGTAAGCTGCTCCGGGATCTGCACACGGTACAGAGTGTAGTATCAGCACAACTGACCCCATGTGTTGATAAGTGTCTAGCCTAACCTCGGCGAAGTAGTGACGAGGCTAGGACCAGACTGCTAAATAAACCTGTGCAATTTATTCATATACGGCGGAAAGAAAAATACAGAAATAACCAGTAAATGTGGGAAGGGGAAACATGCTGTGGAGGGATAACGGTTCCGAATAGAAAGCATCAAGTAAGGAAAGTAGCAACATAACTAGAACATTGTCAAGAATCAGAAATGAACAATTTGCACGGTATCACCCTTCGTGCTTTTACTCTCGTTCTCACCCAAAACAATACACGGCATCGCCCTTCGTGCTTTACGCTCTTCCTCGCCCAAACAACAATCATAAGGCAAATAGGGTAAAGGAATCTATAACCTCGAAGTAAATCAAATAACAACAAGTAATAAAAGAAACAACATAACTCGGATATCAACGAAGAATCAGAAATCAACAAATGCACGGCATCACCCTTCGTGCTTTTACTCTCGTCCTCACCAAAGCAATCATATAATAAAAATGTGCACGGCATTACCCTTCGTGATTTTACTCTCTCTTTCCTCACCATATAATCAATAAAATCGACATTGAATGGTACATCGGGCGGCACGGCATCACCCTTCATGCTTTACACTCTTTCCTCACAATAACAAACAATGCACGGCATCACCCTTCGTGCTTTAACGCTCTTCCTCACCCAAACAACAATCACAAACAAAGGGGCAAGGGAGGAAACAAATAATAATAGAAATCTCGACAAGGGAACACAATTAAACAGTTAAATCCCGGCAAGGGAACAATATCAATAATCTCAGCATCCCGGCAAGGGAGATAATCAACAAAGCAACAAACATCCCGGCAAGGGAGCAATTTAATAACTCTTTCTCTTTCTTTCACTTTTACTTCTTAACTCGCTTTACCACTTGAGCCGACGCTCCAAAGGGTTCAATCATTTCATATACTTTCACACTTTATAACATAACTCAAGTCAATGCTCCTCGAAGTTCAAAGGTCACAATTTCTTTCACAAGCTTTTCACAACATATAGAAATCATCACTAAAGCATGAAAGACACAAAAAAATCAGGATATTCACAATGTAAAGACTCACGGTCATGCTAGACATCAACGTATAGATACTCGTCACCATGCCTATACGTCGTACTCAACAATTATCACATAGCAACTAGGACTCAACTCCTAATCTCTCAAACTAAGGTTAGACCAAACACTTACCTCAAACTTCCGCGGCTAATTTAATCCTCAATTACCGCTTTTCCTCTCAAATTCGGCTCCAAATTGATTGTATCTATACACAAATGACTTCATAACATCAATAAATGCTAAACAATTCGAATCCAATGCCTAATTATAGCTTCCCAAGTATTCTTCCTAAAATCCCAAAAATCGACCCTGGGCCCGCTTGGTCAAAACACTAGGTTCGAACCAAAATCCGATAACACATTCATCCACGAGTCCGAATATATTATTATTTTCAGAATTCGACCTTAAAACGAGGTCTAAATACCCAATTCCCTAATTTCTACCCTTAATTACATGTTTTAGGCCTAGAAATTCAATAGATGTTGGTGAAAATGGAAGGAAATAAGTTAAAGATTACTTACCCAAAAGATTATGGTGAAGAGAAGTTTCAAAAATCGCCTAAGAGCTTTGGAGAAGAAGAGGTTTGTGAAAATTTTATAAAATCCCAAAAGTGTTCTGTTTTTGGCCTTTTTAAAATCACTGGGCGAAAATGCCCTTCGCGTTTGCGACTGACCCTTCGCGTTCGCGTACACGGGCTCGCGTTCGCGAAGAGTAATCTCCTCGAGCCCTCGCGTTCGCGTCCAAGGGTTCACGTTCGCGTAAGACAACTACCCCACTCCCTGCCCAGGCCCATTTGGCCTTCGCGCTCGCGTGGCCAGGATCGCGTTCGCGAAGGGTTATCCCCCCAAAGCCTCGCATTCGCAACCTGAGCTACGCGTTCGAGTAGAAGGAAATTCCTTCAGCAACAATTAACCCATCGTGTTCGCGTGGGTACTCCCGCGAACGCGAAGAAGGCAACACCAGAAACCCAACAGCTGAGAAACCTGCAACATTTTCCAAGTCTGAAGCCTTCCGAAACACATCCGAAACACATCCGAATCACATCTGAGCCCTCGGGGCTCCTAATCAAATACACGTACTAACTCAACAACTTCATACGTCCGTGCGATCAAATCGCCAAAATACCATCAATAACATCGAATTAAACCTCAAAATCAAAGAATTTTTCTCAAACTTCATAAAAGATCAAGTTTAGCAATTTAGGTCCAAATCACGTCAAACGGACTCCGTTTTCAACTTAATTTTACAAAAATGACTTAAACCATATATAAGACCTGTACAAGGGGCTGGAACCAAAATACGAGCCTGATATCATCGCTTTCTAATCAGATTTCATTTCAAAATTCCTTATACATTTTCATAAAACAATTTTACTTACAAATTCATTTCTCAGGCTTGGGACCTCGGAATTCGATTCCGGGCATACGCCCAAGTCCCATATTTTCCCACGGACCCTCCGGGACCGTCAAATCACGGGTTCGGGTCCGTTTACCCAAAATGTTGACCGAAGTCAAATTTATTCATTTTAGACTCAAAATTTAGCATTTTTCACAAAATTTCATATTTAAGCTTTCCGGCTGCGCGCCCGGATTGCGCACGCAAATTGAGGTAACTCTAAATGAGGTTTTCAAGGCCTCGGAAGCACAGAATGGATAAGAAAACAGGTGATGACCCTTTGGGTCGTCACAAAAATAGGTTCATATAAACCGGAACGGAGGGAGTAACTCTCTTGGAAAATAGACGAACATAAAAGATTATACTGAATTATAAACTCAATAAAACAACCTGCTTAAAGCCTGACGACAGCTGACTATAACCACAAAGTAATACTACATTAAAAGCTGATTCCAAAACCTTTGTCTAAACGAATAATAATACCCACGTTGTACCATATTATGTATCCTCCACACGAGCTCCTATGATGTTAACATATTGAAAGCAAAGACCTTAAACATGCTGATCCCAACCAAAACAGGTCAATGGTACAACAGAAAATCCTTGATAAAGAGAATATGTTAGATAGTCAAGCTGCATTATCACTTAGGATGTAAGAAAGCAACTCATCAACACTCTTCTCCCATACCAGAATATGACCATAGCGAACTTTAGAAGTTGTCCAGCAGAACTCTTAAAAATGCATCCCACCTATTTGGTAGTTTGGTACAGCCATTTGCAAAAAATATTCAAGTTAACATCCAACAAATTCCCAAAATAAGTCTCTTTACCGCCGTACGCATAATAGTTCTAGATACAATAAGAAGCCAATTAAAGGGCCAGGATGTCAAAGGGTTCAAACAGTGGCAGACCCATAATTTTATGCAAGCGGTTTCAATCTTAGAAATACATAACTTTAGTCGTAAAATAGTAGTTGTCAAGTGGGTTCAAATAAAATATTTATACAAAATTTACGCAGCTTTAATCGTAATTTATACATATACATAATATTATTTTTTGATGAAGCGGGTTCAGTTGAACCCCACCACGTCCATCCGCCACTGGGTTCAAGCCGTGAAAACAGCCTCTTGCATTTATGCAAGAGTAAAGCTGCGTACAATAAACCTTTGTGGTCCGGCGCTTTCCTGGACCCCGCGCATAGCGAGAGCTTAGTGCACCGGGCTGCCTTCTTACAATAAGAAGCCAATTACAAGATACACAGAGAGAGAGAGATTTGAGATGGCAGGGGAGCTGAACACTATATAGAAGGTCAAGATATGGACCGAACAAAATCAATAACTGTGAGCATACCTTTGAGTGTCATTCCTCTATCTCAAAAGTTGCACTATAACATCAGAAAGTGAAGAAGCTTACCTGATTCAGCAGCTATGTTGCGCGAACTTTCCAAAATGATGCCGCACCCGTGTCGGATCCTCCAAAAATATACTACTTTTGGAGGATCCAAGACGTACCCGGCGAAATTTTCGGAAAGTCCGAGCAACATAGTTCAGCAGGGCCATCCTTACAAAGCACCAGCAAAAAGTGGCCAAATATATTGTAATAGCATGTTACTGTCGTAAACAAAGGCATACAACTCAAGACTTTCCTAACCAGAAAATGAATGAAATTCTAAAACCAAGGCTAGAAAAAACCAGCTTCGTGCTTTAGCTCCGTATGAAGACAAGTAAATTTTATAAATGTAACCAGACAAAGTACAAGTGTACATGTAACACACCATATCTACATGCCAAGTCTTCTGAAAATGGACCTTTAGGTTGGTAAAAGAAAATATACAACAGAGTGACAGACAAATGAAAGCAGATGGTTTCAAAAACATGTTCCTCAAGGTATACACCCACTGCCCTCAAATTCTTCGTCGTATCAAACCATACACCAAAGTTACAGGGAGATCCCTAACACTTGCCCTCAAGTCAAAGTAAGGACAGGACAATCAGCTACAAAAGAACAAGTTCATAGATCCCAAACAAAATCTGAAAAAACATCAACCCAGAATATCCATCAACTAACAAAAGCAAACCAACACAAATTCCACCTCCTCATACATAAAGATGTGTGCATGTCAAAATTCATATCCACGGTCATCCCAATTCCCATGATTTTGAGGTCTGACAGTTGAAAGTAACTCCTCACGACTAGAGATCCTCAGTCGGAATAGGGCTTATCCTTGTACCTGTAAAGAAGCTTCTTCTTCTTTGACGTAGGATTGTCAATTGTCAAAAGTATCTTACCTAGCTCAACGATCTTGAAGCTGCTGCTAACAACAGGTTCATCAGTTGACGTCATCTTTCTAGGCTTCTGTATGTTAACAGTATATCCACTGTCTGTATTCGGCACATATTCAGCACTATATGTCACATCCCAACCCAATACACGTAGCTCCCAGACAATAATGCATTTCTGCAATCAAGATGCTTCAATGGTGAATTATCATAATTAAGATGATGAAAAGCTGGTTTTTATTCTGTTAACAATATATTCTACAATTCATAAACAAAGTCGGCAATTTTTCTCCATAGAAAGGAAAGCACAAATCATATAAATGCATTGTAGCTTCACCTCATTTACAATGATCTCCACGGTCTGCTTTGTTGCAGGTTTTACAATGATCTCAGTGGCTGGATCATTGACAGTGAACTCAGGATTGCATTCACAGTAATCAACGCTGAGGCCCCCATATTGAACAGGTACTTGCTCAGGAGATACGTACCTACACGGAGCCAGTTATACAGACAAGATTACTTCCACTTCTAGCACACTGTTAAGAGTAAAGGCCATAATTGTGCACGCATAAATTGATATAAAGCACAGCTAAAAGCTCTCACTTGTAAAGGGTTTCTGCAGTCTTTGATGGACCAGCAAATACAAACTTGCTTTTTGTTCTCTGGGTCATGAATGGGCTGATCATTGTGTAGAAAGCTAAATACCACCAAGGGACATTGATGAACACCTTCAAAAATCCAAACAAGAACCATAAACTTTGTGCCAGACTACAATATTTGAACTTCAAAAAAAGGGAATGAAATAACCAAACTACCAAAGAACAATAATAATCCAAGATATGGAGCCTTGGTTCAGTGGTAAAGATGTAGGACATTACGTGTTGGTCAGGTGCACATTAAAGATTCGAACCCTGCCACAAATAAAGCATTGTATTTATGTCGGGAGGAGGGTAGAGAGGCAGCCCATACTTCTCAGAGTTCTGAACCAGTGCGTCAACTGGAATCAAGCGGGAAGCCCACGGGGAACTTCTACGATATCCGAGGTATGGCACACTAGGCTTATAAGTAATAGACATCAACTAACAGCTAATCCTACTTAAACATAGTGCCACATACATATAACTAAACCTACGCATAAACACTGCAAGAAATCGCATCATAAACAAGTGCTTATCAGCTCTATTTGGTAAATGCGGAAGCAGATTTAGACAACTTTATATCAGTTAAAAACTTAAAATCATCACATAGAAAGGCTCCAAATTCATTGCCAAATATAGAAACGCTTCAAATGAATCGCCAATTAAAGAATCACAATCACCCATTATCATCATGGAAATGCTTCAAATGAATATAATTAATTCATCATATATACTATGAGCTAGTGTATTAACTACCTGCTTAGCGACGAACTCAGGATAATTATCCTGAAGCAAATGCAAGGCCTGCCTAGTAGCAAGCCGAAGCTCCCTCTTCCCTGGACCAGGAGAGTTCTTGAGATCACTAACTTGAAAGATAGTATTGATTCCACCTGGATTGAAATCCAACTTCCTTATACTTCTCTCCAAGAACTGAATCCGCCAACGCAAGAACTTGTTCCTCTTCTCCTCATCTCCAAAGGTTTTGTTATACAATTCCTTATTCTGAAACTCTCCATACACATTATAGCAAACAGGATGTCCCTCTTTATCATGACCATGCATAAACACAACCTTATCAAGATCATCACCAAGATCTTCATCTACAAGCTCTTCAATGTTAAACTCCTTTCTCCATAAAATTGTCTTCTTTAACATTGCAAATGAATCCTTAACCTTGAAATCTCTAGCTCTAAGAAATTTGAGCAGAATCACATCTGCCCTATCATCTTTCAATAGTGGGATTCCCCAAATGGATACTTCCTGAGGTAAATCAGTAATTTCTGTTGATGGGGTTTGAGTTTCTTGGGTTTTAACTGCGGTTCCAGTAGTAAAGGTTTGATTTTTAATGGATTCTTGAACAAGAAATTTGAACTCTACAAGTGATTTTCTCTCAGAATCAGATAGATCTGAGACTTTATTACTTTCTTCTTTGAATGAAACCAAAGATTCAGGGATCTTTTTCGCATCAGCTGGTTTAGATTTCTCAGATTCAGTAACACTAACACCCTCTGCTTCTTTCTCAGGAACAGTAACAGATACCTGTTCAGCTGCAACCAGAGTTGGTTCTTCCGGTGAAGGCTCAGTTAAAGGAGTATCTTTTTCAACTACAGTAACAGCAGGGTGATGTTCCACAGCTTCTGTTACTGATTCTTGCTTCACTGGTTCAACTTCAACTGAAGCAAGAGGTGGTTCAGTTGCTGTTGGTTCTACTGCTAGTGGTGGAGGTGGGGGTGGGGTATCTTCCTCAGCCGTGGATGGTGGCTGAAGGTTATGTTCTGGTGGGGCTGTATCAGCCATTTCTTGGCCTTATTGAAACAGCAAGAAAAGCAAATGGTGGGGTGAGGGAAAATGAACAGTTCTTGAATGGAAAGTGATAGATACAAAAGTGGAAGTGATGAGGATGGTTTGGTTTGTAGTAACGACAAGTATACAGTAGTAGTAGTAGTAGTTGTAGTGAGCTGAAAAAGAGTAGTAGCTATCAGTTCATTCTAGAGAGAGAGTGAGAGTGTGTGTGTGTGTGAGAGAGAGAGAGAGATGCCTTTTTGGACAGAAGGGGGAAATGGCTGAGGAGAGTGACGCAGTTTTTGCTCGTGAGCTGTTGAGGTTAAGGGTTGACACGAAAAGGGTTTGTTTTGGCATCTGGGTTTTTTTTTGTTAGAATGTGAGAATCCTAGGTACCCATAAAACATGGCTTTTGCCTCACCACCTCACTCATTTTTATATATTTTATTCTTGTTTTTTTAGTTAAAGGGATGATTATATATTACCCCTCTAATTCACAATAAATAACTATTTTACCTTTAGCATACCAATTAAGAAAATATAAACTCCTAAAAAATTATTTTTTAAATTAATCTTAATTAATTGTTTTCTTGACACATTGGAATACGTAAATAAAGCAAATTTTGTAAAAATAAAATTATTTTTTTTTTGATTATGTAAATGGACATTTATTTTAAATCAAAATAAAAAAGATAAAATAGTCACTTATTGTGGACCAGAGATTAGCAATTAAGGGAAAATAGGTACATAGTATCCCTAAGCACAATATTAATATTGCATTCCAAAATATTTTTTGAAAATATAGTTTCTAGAATATCCTCAAAAAGCTTTATTTGTAAATACCGAAACAACTGCTAATATTATTGTTCTTTCAAAAAGATCTTTCTTTGCACCTTCCTTTGCTTGTAGGTCAGCTCCCCTGTCCGTAGTTGTGTTTCACCTCCCTTTTTATTCTATTTTATTTTATGAGGATTGTGTACTATTTACTTGTGTATATATATTGGATAAAACAAAGTGCATTAGCAAGAGGTGAAATTTAGGGCCTGTTTGACCATAAAAAAGATTTAATATTTTGAAATTTTTTTACTTTTTTCGCAATTAGTGTTTAGTCACAAACATTTTAAATTTTCACTTGAAATTGAATTTCATAAAATCTCGAAAATTTAAAAAAATTTAAAAGCTATTTTTCAAAATTTTCACGTCAAATCGTTCATAAAAATTTAAAAACAACTCCAAACTATATATTTATGTTCAAATACAACTCTAATTTTCAAATATCATTTTCACTTGAAAAGTATTTCACTTTTTTCCAGAATTTCACAATTCTGATGTAAACGCCCACTTAATCAACAGATTAGTAATATTAATTGAGAGAAGATGTAAGGTGAAATCGTTTGCTTTGTATGTTAGTGACTGAATTCAGCAAATCCTTTATTCAGTAACTTTTTGAAGTATATAAAGAAAATTATATATTTAAACATCTTTTAAAGAATGTAAATTCTTTAGGTTAGCCACAAAAAATATCAGGACAGATATTAAGTTAAATTTCATAAAAGGAAAAAGTGAAGTACTAGTAAGATGCATGCTACAAATAAATATTCACAATTAGTTTCTTTTGCGAAAGTTTGGAAATATAAATTAAAAAGTTTCAACTTTTAGAATTGTTTTATGGCAATTTATAATGTACAGAGTGGCGCTAGTAAAAAATGATTAACTTTTTCCTCAAAGTACGTACTATTTTAATTTATTAAGACATAAAAAAGTGATCGAACATGTCCCTTTTGAAAGGTTAACGGTATTACGGTACCAATAATTTTGGGGAAGTGCACAGGTGGTCACTAATAACACATGTATTTACTTTTAAGTTACCGTTTAAAAAGTCTTTAGTCTTTAGCCATTGCTTTAATAAATTTTAACTGCCCGGACGAAAATACTCTTATGCTCATATACTTAAGTTCAGGACTTCAGGACTACATGTCCTTAATTTTTGAACTTGAAACTCTAAGTTCAGGACTTCAGGACTATATGTCCTTAACTTTTGAACTTGAAACTCTAAGTTCAGGACTTCAGGACTATATGTCCTTAACTTTTGAATTTAACTTCAGGATTTCGGGACTACATGTCCTTAACTTGTGAACTTGGAACTCAAACTTCAGGATCAAACGTCCTTAACTTTTGAACTTGTAAGTCAAAGTTAAGAACTTATTGTCCTTAACTTTTGATCTTGTAACTGTAAGTTAAGGACCACATGTCCTTAAATTTTAAACTTATTAGTCTAAATTCAGGACCAAGTGTCCTTAACTTTTGACCTTGTAAGTCTAAGTTCACGACCAAGTGTCCTTAACTTTTTAACTTGGAATTCAAAGTTAAGGACTAAGTGTCCTTAACTTTTGAAACTTGTAAGTCAAAGTTCAGGATCAAGTGTCCTTAACTTTTGAACTTGGAACTCAAAGTTAAGGACCAAGTGTCCCTAACTTTTGAACTTGAAACTTGAAGTTCAGGACCAAGTGTCCTTAACTTTTGAACTTGTAACTATAAGTTCAGGACCTATAGTCCTTAACTTTTGAGCTTGTTAGTCTAAGTTCAGGACCAAGTGTCCTTAACTTTTGAACTTGTAACTCAAAGTTAAGGACTGTCTGTTCTTAATTTCTATGCTTGTAACTCTAAGTTAAGGACCAAATATCCTTAATTTTAGAACTTCCAACTCTAAGTTCAGGACCCACATAAAAAAAAGAGAATTTGATTCATTGAAATATGAAAACTCAATTGGTATTCTGCCAACTGATCTTCCGCTTCCAAAAAATAGCCTAAGACCATTAATTCACTCCACAAAGTGTCTTCAAAACCTCTTTCAACAAATACCCCATTTGCACTAATTTTTGTTTGTGAATATCTCAAACAGAGAAAAGAGAAACACTTGTTTGTGTTTTCCTTTTCCTTTTCTTGTATTTTCCAGCTAAAAATTATAGATTAACTGGACTAACTTCCTCTGCAAGAGCCACGCCCAGCTTGTTTAGTTTTTAATCAAGAAACCAGAGCCCATGTATTCGATGCAGAGTGAGAAGCGAGGGTTTGAGAAGAAAAGCAATGGAAGAAAGGGTAAAAATGTCTTTTCATATTAATTTTAATAGAGTAGTGGCTATTTTTGCTCAACATTAGAATTGCTGGATAAAAAATAAATAGCACCTTAAATAGTGGCTACCCCATGTCATTTTTACACAATTATGCTCTGTATTAGTCTTTAGGAATAATTATTGAGTGAAATTAATAATTATTTGTATAACTTAATTTACTAGAAATTTTTCTTAACAGGAAAAAACAAAAAGCTTTCTTTTCTCGAAAGTAGGGGTGTTCACAAAAATCCAAAAATCCGAACGAAACCAAAAACCATACCAAACCAACCAAAAAATTGATAATTTTTGGTTTGGTTTGGTTTTGGTTTTAAAATTTAAAAACCGATCAAATTTGGTTTGGGTTTGGTTTTAATTAAAAAAAAAAAGTCGAACCAAACCGGATATAGGAGTAGCTATTTTAAATTTACACATACAGACACACACACACACACACACACACACACACACACACACATATATATATATATATATATACATACACACACACACACTTTTATACAAAGTTTTAAAATTTTTTATAGTAAATATTAATTGTTTGCACTTTTAGTACAATTCTTTACCTTTACATTCTAGTTTAATTAGTAGCTTTCTTTTGTTAAGTGTAATAATCTATTTCATGTTAAAAATAATATATTTTTAATTGAGTCCTTAAATTATTTATCACTATTTGATTCAATTATCATCAATATATCTTGGTAAATAATAGATTTCTCAAAGGGCAATTGATTTGATAGTGTTACGCTGAAAATGTGGTCGCCGAAATGTGTGTTTGGTGGTGTATGTCTTATATTTAAGAAAAAATCGAGAAAAAACTGACTTAGTTGGTTTGGTTTGGTTCTAATATTTGAAAAACCGACCTACTTGGTTTGGTTTCTTTTTAGGGAAAAACCGATCTAAACCGAACCATGAACACCCCTACTCGAAAGAATCCATACTGCTCTTTCATTTTGTTTGCATCAACCACAGCTAGGGATGTTCATAAAAATTCGAAAAACCGAACCAAACCGAAAAACAAACCAAACCGACCAAAAAAAACCGATACTTTTTGGTTTGGTTTGATTTTTGTTTTGAAATTTAAAAATCGATCAAATTCGATTTGGTTTTGGTTTTAATAAAAAAATCGAACCAAACCGAATATAGGAGTAGCTAATTTAAATTTATTATTACACCTATATATATGTATACTTTTATACAAAGTTTTAAAATTTT